GTGTTTCTGTTAATAATAATAATAATAATAATACATTTTATTTATAAGCGCTTTTCTAAATACTCAAAGACACTTTACATAAAAAAAAAAAAATGAATGTGAAGTGTGAATGAGTCGCTATGTTATGGTAAATGGATGGTAAATGGACCTGTACCTGTACTTGCATAGCGCCTTTCTAGTCTTCTGACCACTCAAAGTACTTTTACACTACATGCCACATCGGCCCTTTCATACACATTCACACAGCAACGCACAGCATCAGGAGCAATTTGGGTTTCAGTATCTTGCTCAAGGATACTTCGACATATGGCAGGAGGAGGAGGCGGGGATCGAACCAACAACCTTGCGATTAGGGGACGACCCGTTCTTCCTGCCAAGTGCCATGTTTTTCAAGTGTCATGTTTTTTGCCACCGTAGTTTCTTACACACTTTACATCTACTCATATAATGTAATAATCAATTAATCAATCACTTAAGAAAACCTACCAATATATATTATATTTCTGCCAATAGAAAATTACACACTGGACCTTAAAAATGACCATGACCACCATGCACACATTCTTCTATATACTACTATTCTATACTGTATATAGACCCCACAGCCAGTGTGGCAGTAGACCTCCATGGTGGGGACAGATGTGGTCACAAAGAGATTTATGGCACCACTGCAAAGCCTCTTTTGTGATGTCACAGAGGTTATTTGTTATGATGTCACAGTGCTGCTCACCATATGTCCCTCCCTAGAGAGAGGAAGCTCTCCACTGATTAGCTGAACAGCTTGTTGCCCAACAGGCCATGAGGTTGAATGACCTCTGGGGGTGAACAGAGAGGCATGTAATTTGCTTGATGGGACAAGGTTGTAACATTTTTGCATGTGAGTGTGTGTGTATGTATGAATGTGCATCATTAAAACAGACTGATTGCAGTTTGTAAGTGAAGCTAAAAAAGCTGTTAATACATGAACAAAAGCATTGTGCCAGTTATTGTCTGTGTGCAGTCCTGGTTGCTGGGCTGTCTATAGAGCGGGCTGATCTCATGCTTATGATTCTGTGCAAAACAAAACCAGATAGTTTGGTTGAAATTCTAATTCTATTATCTCGTTGCTCCTGTTGTCACTGAGACTAATCGGTGACATTAAGCATTAGCATTTTGCAATGCTCACCCATAAAAAAACTGTGTGCCATCTCAGCTGCTTCCATCACCAATTATAGGAATTGCATGTGGGGAAATTTAAGCACACATGATGGAAGTCAGTGTGTGCTAGTGTTGTATATATATATATATATGTGTGTGTGTGTCTCTGTGATACTGCTATTTATGGTTGGCCAGCCATAAAAGTGTCTCCTCCAGCTCCTCTCTCCTCCATTTATACAATCATCCAGTCCAGCAGTGCACCTAACGGCCCAAACCACAGCTCTCCGCTCCACACCTGCTCTGCACCAAATCCACACACCATCTACACATCCAGTGCTGAAATCCACCAGAAAGTAATAACCACAATACAAAAGACATGCTGTGAGCAACAAAAGCCTCCACAAAGGAATTTTCCTTCATGATGAATGACATTTTGTTTGTTGCGTGTAACGGTGAGCTACCATCTTTGAGCAGGACATTGGTATGGCTTAGGTTCAATCTGCAGTATTATATTTATAAATTATGTTCATTTTGCTAATGGTCAGGGATGATCTAAAGCTTGAATACAAAAGCAAAGATAATGTGTTTTGTACAAACAATTCCTCTTTTTGAATTTGTTCAGTACAAAGTGCTACATGAATGAATCCTAAAACCTGGAACTGGTTTCGGTTTCCTTGTCTAGAATTCTTTTCTAGTCTTTCTTGCTTACAGGCAGCTATTGGTGCCATTCCTTTTTGTACAATGAACTTCCAGAGACTCAAGACATGCTTGTGCTGATGTCAGTAATGTATTGCAGTGAAAATTTGGTGTGCTTGACTCCAAAGAATTGCCTAATATGTTTTGGAGGAAAGATAATTGCTGTTTGGTTTATGTTCACCTGCAACTCTCCATCCAATCCATGAAGTGTTACATTCTTGTACCATACAGAAGCCATACCAAGGTGGTCCAGCAAAAAAAAACCTTTAGCGCCTCTATGAGACACCTTTTTAACATATGGTTAAAACTGTGAAGGCGTCAGTTACCTTATGTTACCTAACTTGAAATAAGTCATTGTTGACTTCTTGTTTCATGACTTCCCTCCTCCCTATGCTGACATTTGGCTTTATGCTAGTTTTACTAATACACCTGACTTCGTATAGGCTTTCTGGCAGCCCAACGCGTCTCATACAGATGCTAAAAGAGTCCCTTGTGCTTCTGTATGAGATGCTGAGAGGTGTGACAAAATGTTGGTATTTGATGATCTGGGATGCTGGGTGGTTGGAGTGGGAGTGCAGGACTTGCAGGGTTTGCATACTGCATCCTGTGTGCAGTTGGTACAAAAGATTGTGGTTTTAATTCAGTTCCAAACAAAAACATGCACGGACAGTGATCCATTTTTCGGATACCTTCAGATACATTTAGCAACTTTACAGATACGTTTCGTTATTATGCTGATTTAAGTGTAGTCTGGTATTACCCTTCTTTGGAAACACATTTGCTGTTACAATTCAGGGGAAACCGAGCCTGGCTCTGTCCAAAATTCAAAAGGAGACCAAACCAGAACCTGTGCTCATAGAACATATTGTATCTGGCCACCTGTGGTATAGCCTGGAAACTGTTTTTCAGGAAGGAGTTTGGACAGAGCCAGGCTAACTGTTTCTCTGTTCCCAGTCTTTATGCAGCTCAGAGATCTGGTATGCTGTCTGTCGCTGGTCCTCTCTAATGGTCATATGTTGTTTTGGGAGTCATTGGCAATTGATCTATTATGTTGAGATTGATATCATCTCACATGTAGAAAGAAAGCAAATAATCACACTTGTTGAACCAAATGTTGACCCATTCCATTTAAGTTATAGGTTGAGATTGGGGTCAGGGTTTCACTTCCTTTCAGACATTGTGCCAGAAATGATATATATATATATATATGTATATATATATATATATAATAAAAAAAATATTTCTCCCTTGGAACTGGAACTAACCCTTCAGGAGTGCAGGTAAAATAGAGGAGCACAAATAATTATCAAGAAGAGAACATATATTGCTTTTATTAAAATGACTTGAGTAGGTCCTACCCTTTCCAAAGTTGAGGAAAAGAGAAAAGGAAACGAACATGATGCTACAGTGGTTTAACAGGTGGAGCCCCTGCGGCCCTACAAATGACCCCACTTTGTAATCCACTGCTTTAGAGAGACAATATAACTCTGAGGGCTACATGTGGGAAAATATTATAATCCTATCAAATGTGCTTTTATAGTTTTCACCCCATTCTTGTCACCGGCGGCCATTAACATGACTACAATGGTCCTTATATTACTTCAGTAAGTAAGATTCAGTGTATATTTCTATGATATTCCTTTGGGGAATTATAATATGTCTCTGCATTCAGTGAAAAAATGGGAAAATGGATCTGTTATATATACTAACGTAAATCGCATCTGGTCAACACAATACATTTAAACATGATTAAAATGCACAGAGATAAAGTGAAGCTTAACATAACAGCCATGAAGACATTTGATTGTGTTGTAATTCAGAGTTTCAGCTGAATTACATTTTAACTGAAGGATGTGTGGCAGAGGAAAAAGAGAACAGAAGAAAGGTATTGTGGGAAGATGACTTGTTGCCTAAAGCTGCAACTCCTGAAGGTAGATATCCTAACGGACAAAAATCTGCATCCATCCTTCAAATGTGAAATAATACAAACGCTTGTGAATTAAATATATTCTGACATTTCTACAGAGTTAACAGCCAAGTGCTCGCTACATTTTTACCAAATGATGGCTATCACATTGCAGACTGTCCACAAACTTCCACTAGCTTTTATTTCCAGCTTATGTTTTAAGTTAGTGTGTTATGGTATCTATATTATTCAGTTTCACCATACTGTGGTAAGTTTGTTTTCGTTAGTTAATGTTAGTCTAATGTTAGAATTCATGTTTAATGTAATTTGCCTTGTTTTTTTATTGATAACTAGGCCTGTGACCTCTGCACATTAAAGCTGCAGAGGGAAGACGTGGAGGCGCAACATCCATCTCTTATGTGTCGATGGTTGAACTGCCATGTTTCTATAGTAGCCCAGAAAGGACAAATCAATCACTGGCTCCAGATAGGGGCAGTCATGTTTTTGTGCGTTTCGCAGCCACTGTAGTTTCTTCTTTTGCACTTGGAAGGGGAGTGTGAAGCGAGGGAGTTTCAATCTGCAACTTCACCACTAGATGCCACAAAAACTTTAAAAAACTGGACCTTTAATATATATTTAAAAATGATTATAGTTATAGCTTTAAAGTACACAATTATTTTTTTTAGGGTTCCCTCATTCATATAGCATACTGTATATTTTCCCCAGTTTTATTCCTCCTTTTTTATTGATGCAGGTTCATGATGAAGTTTCTCAGGTCTATTACAAATAGGTGGTCAGTGTTTGTGGGACACTCTGTGTTAGCTCATTTTCTGCTGTTCTCACCATATTTTGGTCATTTTAATCAATTTCCTAATTGGAAAACAAGTCTCTAAATACCCAGGTTTTCTGGGACGTGTGACCCTGATTCTGTTGGAGGAAAGCGATTAATACAAAATGTTTTATGAAATTACAATATATTATGATAATACTTTGTTCAAGCAATACCACTGTATGACTTGCTGCCTAAGCAACCAGTTTATGTGCAAAGAATGACCACAATTCAGTTGTGTAAAACCGACAGGCTTTCCCCTAGCATAGCGTCACAGCCATGCTGTTCTTTTTAGAAAATTATAGGATGTGATGAGTTTCATGCATTTTTTGTCATTCAGATGCATAATAGGAACTATGGTTCTCTTAACTGCGTCGTGTATCTTGTATGAGACTTTCAGACTTCACTGATTTTGTTGCAATGTGGAAGCATTCTATAGTGTGCAAATCATTAAACATGCTATTCCGATATACTGCTGGGGAGGCGGTCAAATGAGAAAAATCCATTTAATCTTTGGGTTAATGGTATTCACTTATTCAAAAAATAAAAGAAGAAAAAAAAAAGGAATTATTAGCAATACACTTTAGTGTTTTATAGATAAAAGTGAGAATACTTGGGCTCTTGGGTGCACATTTAAAAAGGTACTTGCAAATGCATTTAATGTCAGTCTTTTGGGATGAATCATTTCAACTTAAAAACATCTCAGTTATGATGACAGTAAAGATCTATTTCCATCCCTAGCTATACTATCCCTAAAGGTGATGATGATGATGATGATCTGAGGAGGAGGAGGGAGAGGAGGGGGAGGGATATCACCAGTTAATAACCCCAGCCTCCCGCTGTCAGCATCATGATCGCAGAACGTGCCGGGACCCCTTCACCAGCGGAGCCGCGTCGGGATGACTGTCCGCGGGCAGAGCTGCAGCCCGGTGACGCTTGACATTTCCTCCATCCAGTAGTTCTCCAGAGCAGCGGCTGGAACCTTGGCACAAACACACACACACACACACACACACACTCTCACTCACACACACTCTGAGCGAGGCTGCCTCTCCGGCGCGCACTTTGCTCCGACACATTCCTCCGAGGCTTCTCCTTCCTTCCTTGCTTCCATCTGGGGATTTGAAACTTGCGGGACTTTACCGTCGCAGGCAGAGAGCAAACAGGAGGCGGACGGACGGATAGAGTCGGTGAATGTAGCGGCAGGCTGGGTGGCTGTCTGCGGGGCGCACAGCGGTGCTGCTGGACCAGCCGAGGACGCACCAAGTCCCGTCCCACATCCCCGTTTTAACCCTCCTCCGGTGTCCCGAACACAGCAAAGATGATTCTCCTCGGGATTGGGCTTGCTCTGTTCTTCTCAGGTACGTTCTGTGATTTGATTCTTACAATAAAAAAGAGAAATCCTTCTGGTGAAGCACTTGAGCCAACACCAGTCTTTGTCTAGATGACTCGCAAGTTAGATGGAGGCGAGGATGGGAAGCGGGGAAGTCACACTTCATTTGCAGCCTCACATTTTGCTCCAAAGTGCAGAGAGATAGGCTGTTCCTGCCTCTTTGTGTTATCTGCTTCCATTAGGAGACTCCGAGGTGCAGTTTTTTCTTTTTTTTGGCCCCTTTGGTCAATTTCACGCTTGTGGAGCCACAGGGATGTAAATAAGTGCATCTTTTTCCTCCCAACTTTTCAGCAGAGTAAAAGATTTTTCATGCGGCTGTTTCTGACTGTTTACATTCTATATATAGCTAGTATCATTCTTTGTCTCAATCTGCTTTTTTTGTTTTTTGGATGTGGTCCTGTGCTCTCAGTTCAAGCAAGACAATAAATCTCTCCGCTATTTTTTAAACGCCACTAGGCTACGCCCTTCCAGCTCCCAGCACTGAAACTTTACACTGATGAGTGAACGCAGAAACATGGTGACTGATGGGTATCAAACCCTCAGTCAGACTAGAGCAGGGCTGCATTTCACTGCCAGCAGTACTACAAGAATTACATTTATTATGTTATAGACACTTAAAGAATCTTCTAATTTGTTCTAATAAAACAGAAAAAGAAATGGTTACATATGCAATGTTTTATAATGAGCTTATTTTTGCAATAATGTCGTTTTTAATAGATAGATAGATAGATAGATAGATAGATAGATAGATAGATAGATAGATACTTTATTCAACCCCAAGGGAAAATTCACATGGCATATTTTGCCATTTGCAGATGAAAAAAAAGTGCCAAAATAAAATAAGTAAAGCAGAAGCATAATCTTAATGATAAATATAAAATAAGCATTCAATATATACATCAATATATCATTAAATGTGTAATGTAGATTAAGAGGAAGGTGAATGGAATAAACAACTTTAAGTGTTTAAAAAAGACCCTTGGTCACTTTTAATGATTAACCGCTTTATTTCAGGGGGATTTAAGCAGCATACTAAGGAAAAGATTCAGGCATGAAATTCATTGATTTAGAGACCCATAGTGTGTGTATATAAACTGACTAAGTGACAATTAGGGCATTTTAAAGAGGGATATTCTTACCATTGTGCCAGTTTATATGCCCGTACAGACACTTATGGCTACAGAAATGCTTTTTCTTGTTAGAACATTTATAGATAATTTCTAACAAGTTTCTTTTGCATTAAAATTTCTGTATAGAACCACCAGACCTTGTTTTGGACCCACAGTTGACCTGTTTAAAATCTTTTCCCCATTGATTGTTTTCTTAATGAAGACCCCTGATCGAGTTGTGACTATTTTATGATGACCTGAAGACAATTCATCCCTGCTTTATACAAACAGCATTGATAAAGGGCACGGCTTTGGCTAAAAAGCATTTTTAAAGAACTCCACCTTGATGCCATGAATAGTTGCTTAGAATTTGCTTTCTCGGACACGCACACACACACTCGAAAACACTTTCCTCGAGTTCGCAAGTTCACAAGTGAAACAAAATGTAAAAGTGGACCTTTTTTATATTTGCGGGGGTGAATGTACGCTATCATATTGTCATTAATGCAGCTTTTTGATGAAATTGCTGCTGGGTGTGATGTTGTCTTGTTAATGTCATTCCCTTTTCTCTTTGTGTGTTTTATAAAGAGGTGATCTGTTCAGGAGTCTGTGTGTGGCCACTAAAAGCTTGTAAATGAAAAGAAAACCTAGAGAAATTAGGCTTCTTTACAGCACTTAAAGGGTTATTCAGTTGTGGACAAGCCTAAAACAACCATTTTCTGGTATTACACGACGACGTTGTGTGCTGAGGGTCACAGACAGGTGCGAGGCAGTACTAGCCAAAGAGCTAAAAAGGAGTTTTAGCATGAAAGAAAACAAAATGAGAGTGTCCATGGTTCTTATTCTATTAGAAAATGTATGGGTCAGTGTACAGGCAGATCTACCAAAGCTGGACTAACAAAAACAAAGAGTGTTCTCAGATTGAAAACAAACTGCAAAACACTTACTGACTGTGAGGGTCAAAAAATGTGGAGGATAGTCAGGTCAGTGGGCCAAAAACCTTTCTTATAAAGACAAAAAAGAGGCGTGAAGATAAGAGCTGTATATTTGTCAATGCTTTGAGGGTAAATATGGAAGGTCAATAGTGACAAAAACTGAATTTTAAATCAGTGTTGATTCTAAAATGTGGGCAGTGAGGAAATTTGAGTGCAAAATCTGACTTTTCTGTGCTTCGCCTCTCTCTTTCCTGGTTCTTTGGTCAGAGTCTGAGCGCCTGAGAGTGTGAGAGGGCCCTCACTGATGGTGCATGAACAGGACACGCCCATACGTATCAGGCTGTTGTTGGATGTGTTTCATAGTTTATGACTGACAAACAAGACAAGACTGACGGAGCACTCTGGGAAGTCACCCGATGTTCCTTAAAAGGTGGAGGATGACGAATCAGTTTTAGTTTCAGATGGCCTTTGCGTGCCAAAACTGACTTTGTTCACTCAGATGTGGACTTTAATTGCCTCTCAGATTTAATCAATGTTTTTGTTTTTCTATTAATGTATAACCATACATAATGTTAATTCAGTAAGGTAGGATATCTACAAATCATTTTCAGCTTTAATTACACTACATTGCTGGTTGGATATGTGGGGTTCTTTTTTTGTGTTGGAGTAGTTACACTTGTTGTATTAAGAAGATATCAGGGCTGCAACTAACAATTATTTTCATTGTCAATTAATCTGTCAATCATTTTCACCATTAATTAGTTGGGTGCTATAATAAAATGACTGATTGTACCTTCAAAACAATGAATTTGATCTCTTTTGAATCAATGATTGTATATATTCTATCTTCTACATTTACAATGCCATAACAATCCATAGCATACTATCACAGAAGACTAGAGAAACCAGAACATATGCACATTTAAGAAACTGAAATTAAAATAATTTGATATTTATTTTTCAAAACTGACTCAAAAGGATTAATTGTTTGTCAAGATAGTTGCTGATTAATTTAATGGTTGACAACTAATCGACATAATCGCTCAAACCTAAGCAGCCTTATTAGATGGTAGGACCCCGTCATCGTCATTGTTCATCACAATATCGCTACAATGGTTGTGGTTAATTTTGGGCAGTATGTTATTCCATACAGGACATATAGTTCCCAGAATTGTTGATTGTTGTTTATATATATATTTTTTTTTGTGTGGCCTTTTTTTTCAGTAATTTCGGTTTAGTCTGCATTTACACTTTTACCACGTGGAGCGGCAGAAATTGGAACCATATATCTATTACCTAAAGCTCCAGTAGGTAATATTTATATATTATATTTATATATATATTTAGGTAAATAACTTTTTGTCATATTTGCTGAAGCTTGCACTATATCCTGACAGTAGTACACAAGACAGATAATCTGTGAGGAAAAATCTATCTGGTTACTTTGGCTCCTCCTACTGCTTCTAATGGCACTAGGAGGCACGAGAAAGATAGCTAATTGCTGAGTCTCATTCCCAGGGCGTCAAATGCAGACGCTTTGGGACCCTGGGAATGAGACTCAATCAAAAATCAACTCAAGCCTTTAACCCAAAGCGTCTTTCTATCTTTCTTGGCTCTGATTGGTTGTTTTTGTCCAGGCCCGGTGGATTCTTCTAAATGCCATTAGGAGCACTAGGAGGAGCCAGAGGAACCTGATTTTTCATGTTCTAATGTCAGAACACAATGAAACTTTGAGTATAACTAAGTTATTTTTATAATAATTACCTACTGCAGCTTTAAGCTTTTTGTTGTCTTTTTCTAGCTACTTTTCATTCAATCTCAGTGGCAGGTGTTACAACTGACCCATCATATGCAGTCTTGTGACGATAAATACACTAAAGATCAGCCTCGCACCAATTTGAAAGCATATTTGTCATCTTATTTTTGTCCTAAACACACGTATGTGGGTATATCAAACCATCATTTCTGTTTTAGAATTAGCTGAGCTACTCCACATCCTGCCAGGTAGCCCCTGCTAACAACAGACGTAACCCCAGCCGTACAAGTACCCCTGGTTGGAAATCAGTGGATTATATCAGTGCTATAGCAGGACTAATGAAATTCCCCTGCAGTGGCTTTATGTGAGCATGGTCTGTGCTACAGCACAGCCCCGCTGTGTTCATTAGCCGTGTTAATGATTGTCCAGCTTGTAGTGACACTGTAATGTTGAGTGACAGCCTCATATATCTCCCTGTCTCTCGGCCTCAGGTTTATCCACCCTCTCCTCCCCTCCTCTCTCTCTCCCTCAAGGCTTTCAGGTCGTGTCTGATTTTCCTTTTTTTCAATCTCAATCTAAATTCCCCCTCGGATTCAGTGGCGCGTCAGAATAAATTGTTCAAGTCGTTCAATGAGGAAGTGCAGTCAACCGACGCCGGTGTGCAAACACATTTGGAGCGGCGGTGGTTGACGTCTTATCGGTTCGCAGGCAGGTGTGCATGTTTGTGTGTATTTTTAGGGGTGGGAGGGTGCATGACAGGGCTTGTTTTGCCTAGACAGCACTAGTGGGTTTTTGAAGACCTACACTGATACCGATACTTTGGGAGTGAAGCTGCCCACAGGGAATATCTTTTTAACCCCTTAACACTTTTCCTTTTCTGGTTCCCCTGAAAGGCCCTTAGATCTGTTGATGTGATGAGGTCCAACATAAATACACATTTTTCTACCAAAGTAAGAACAGGTTTGTTACTTAATTTGAGAGAAATTAGCTTTGTCTGTGTTCTTCTCATTGGTTTTAAGTGTGCAGGGCTCTGTTAGGTCACATACTCCCATGCAACAGTGAGAATTTAGCAACATTTGAATCGTCTGTGATCATTCACACACATCAGCACTTTGTTCAGTCAGTGTGTGGAGAATGTGTGGGAGACAGCGCGGAGAAAAACTGGACA